CCCCGCTTCTTCCGACCGCCCTCCGCGCCTCAGGCCCGGCCCAGCGCCTCAGGCCCGGCCCCCTCCGCCTCAGGCCCGGCCCCAGCGCCCTCCGGCCTGCTTTCAGCAGCAGGTTTAGGTGGCATCTCCCGTGGGGATGGCAGGTGGAGCTGATCCTGCCCGGGACAGGGAGAAGAAGGACTAGGTGACCTCCTCAGGTCCGGAAGCACATGGAGAGCGTGGGTCTACCACAAAGGCCCACAGCTGTTGCTCGTGATCTCTACATCTCAGACCCAGGAGCCGCGGCATGGGGCAAGGCGACTCCCTCCAAAGAGCTCCCTGTCCGGGGCAGGATGGCAAAGTCACACTAAGGCTCACGGGGCGATGGCACCAGTCAGTGCCGCTGGGATGGCAGCAAGCTGTTCCTCACAAGCGCCCCGGGCCTGGCACGGCAAGCCCCACGCTGCAGCGGGCATATACAAGCCGGATGTCACCACCCTGCGGGACAGGGTTACTTACAGCCCATAAGCAACAACATGGCCTGGACAATTTTACCCCCAGGCTTTGCACGTCCCCAAATTTCATGTTTCCTTGCTAATTTTTTTGCAAAGATTTTCTACCACCCTGAGGCTGCATCCCCAAAACCACACCGTCATCGCCCAAGCCCAGCAGATCCAGGCGTCTCACCAGCTGGACTGACCTGCAGGACTGGGATGTGGATGCCCAACACCGTTCTTCACCTTAATTCCTGCAGATTTGCAGAGCTATGGCATTTTCAAGGTGAACAAGGCTCTAGAGTTCACCATTTTGCTTTAATTAAGATTAGCCTCCACCTTCACAGAACCTGGGTGTCTCCAAAGAGAAGATGCAAATGGAAGAAAGGCGCCTTCCTATCTCTCCCTCTTGAAATCCCTCATGCTGAGAACTCAGCACCTGAAAAGGGCGAGGGAAAGCCCTCCCGTCCCGACTCCTGCAGCCTCAGCTGTTGCATGCACTTGACAGAGGCTGTCGCCAGCTTGTCTGCTGTGGCCGGGCAGCGAGGGGCTGACCCTGCCAGTGCTCCCACGGCTGCAGGAGGCTACATGCGCCGGTAAAAGCAGCTCGCAAGGACCTGTAGCCAGAGGGAGAAATGCCCCTGACGCCACAGGGGAACATGGGCTGACCCCAGCTCGCCCCCAGCATGGTTGCAAGACACCCTGGCCGGCTCTGATGTGAGCTGGATTCGGCTCTGCTCACCCAGAGCCATCGCTGACAACCTGCACTGTCCTTGAAAAGGAACTGGAGCTGTTCAGACAAACCTAGTGCAGCAAAGATGAGAGATTCAGAGACGGGGAGTTTAAGGGACTTGCACTTTACTCAGCAACTCAATGACACCTTCCTTGGTGAGGAACAAAACCTGGCCGGTGTTCTGATGCCAGACCTCGAAGACAGGGGGGTCCTCGCAAACCCTCTTCCCGGCTATGACCACGTAGGGATAGCCCAGCTTGTTGGCGTCCTTTAGCCTTCTGCCGATGGTCAGCTGCGTCCTGTCATCCAGCACCGAGTCGCCGGCGAGGTGGGGCAGCGCTTCGGCGAGGTCATCGTACACCCGCTCCAGCAGCGCAGCTCCCTCCTCCTCCTCCTTACTGCCTCTCTTGGGGGGAATGAAGCAGAGCTGGTAGGGCGCGATGAGGCTCGGCCAACGGATGCTGTCCTCCGTAGAGAGCACTTCGATGGAGGCCGCCAGGATGCGAGTGATGCCGAGGCCGTAGCAACCCATTTCTGCCAGCTGGGGTTTGTTCTCGGGGGAGTAGAAGATGGCGTTGGAGACGGAGGAGTACTTGGTGCCCAGATAAAACGTGTGCCCCACTTCGATCCCTCTGGTCTGGGCGAGTTTTTCTCCGCACGTGGGGCAAGATGTTTGCTCCCCGTTTAGTGTTTCCACGTTGGCAGCAAAATGTCCGTCGGGGCACACCACCAGCCTGTCCTCGCCGACACCTGCCGGGAGCTGGAACTCGTGGGACACGGTGCCGCCGATGCTGCCCGTGGCCGCCCGCACTTTGATGAAGGGAAGGCCCAGGCGGTCGAAGAGGCTGCGGTAGGCGTCGCACACCAGGTCGTATGTCTGCCGAGCCGCCTCTTCGGAGGCGTCGAAGGTGTACATGTCCTTCATGTAAAACTCCCGGCTGCGCAGCAAGCCGAAGCGGGGCTTGGGCTCATCCCGAAATTTCCTGGTTACCTGGTAGAGGCGCAGCGGGAGCTGCTTGTAGGACAGGTTGCTCTGAGCGGCCACCAGCTCGGTCACCGCCTCCTCGTGCGTGGGGCCCAGGCAGTAGCCCCTGCCGTGCCGGTCCGCCAGCCGGAAGAGCTCCGGCCCCATCCGGTCCCAGCGGCCGCTGGCGCGCCACAGCTCCGCCGAGCTCAGGCTGGGCATGTTCAGCTTCTGCCCCCCCACGGCCCGCATCTCCTCGTCCGTCACCTTGATGAGCTTCTCCATGGCGCGGACGGCGGGCGGCATGTAGTAGTAGCAGCCGGGGCTGGAGGGGTGGATGAGCCCCCCCTGCAGCATCAGCTTCTGGCTCCGGCAGGTGGGCTCCCCGTCCCACCCCGCCTCGCCGC